GCCCGATGACCTATGGTTCTTTGATTTGGTGTTACTCCGAAATGTATTTATGGTGAAGATGGCAGAGGCGGTAGCAGTAGCAACAGATGATCCAGCAGACGCACCGGCAGCTGCGGAGGCACATATAGAGATAAACTTAGAGCAGTAGCCTCCAGAGGAGTCACCACATCACTCTCCAGCGAGGTCCCCATCACATTCTCAAGAGCAGAGTCAAGGTGAGCATCAGTTTCATGATCATGCCATCCCTGATGCTCCAGCTCAGACACTCGGCTTGGGGGAGCGTATCCAGATCTTGGAGGATGCGGTAGTATCTCTCCAAGCAGATGTGGCCTCTCTCAGCACCGACGTGACTACTCTCCGTGCTAATGTCCTGACTGCGCTGCAGGGCATTTCCAGAGACATCCGGGGTTCACGCCCTGCTAGACCAACCTCCTCTGCTTGATTTATCTATTTCTCTTTATCATCATATATCTGTGTTATCTGACTGTTACTTTGATATTGTTACTCTGGCCAGTCTGTTGGCCTGATATTGTGATATACTATATACTGTTTTTATTTTCTATTATCTATGCATGCTATTTTTGGATGTCATTTTATGTATTGATATATCTATTTGTGATTGACTCCATAGGTACATCCTAGTGACTTCGGTGAGAGAATATTGCCCAAATTTTTTAGGACCACCCTTATTCCTCTCTCTCTCTCTTTATTTCATTTCCTATCCCACTTGCACTAGCATGCCCACTATGCACCATTATTATCCCATTTGTTATCTGATGAGGTTTTATCCCAGTGCTATCTTTTCAGGACCACAGTAAATCCCAAGTTTGGGGGGGGGGGGGTGGGGTCATACCACCCACTTCAGATACTTATGTCCCGGCCATTCTTTGCCATAGCTGCATTAGTATACTCTTTCCTTTTGTTCTCTTTGCACATTGAGGACACTGTGCCATTTAAGTTTGGGGGTAATGTGTGTTCTTTGCAGTGTTTATTTTTAATTCAACATTTTGAGCATGACTTGTGTATTTGAGGGATTTTCTATGATTGGTCCATGACTAGTTATGATTTTGATCTTTTGAGAAATATATTACTTAAAATTTAAAATTGCTTGACTTGAGAGTCCAATACTCCTTGTATGCCTTATGGATTAGGAGTAATTTTTCGAAAGATTGATATCTTGCTTGTACTTGTGGTCCACATCATCTTGATTTTGTGATTATTTTGAGATTCACTTTAGGATTCTACACTAGCACAGGTGCACACTAGCATTCATTTGTGGGGTACATGCTTTGTTGGTTATTGAATTGGTTATATCCCAATTGAGCTAGTAGTGCATTGAAAACTTTCATTCTTAATAAAGGTAGATAACAAACCCTTTTCATTGAGTAGCCAGGATTCTAGCCTCATCAAGCATTGAATTTCTCGCGCCGAAAGGTAGAGAGCCAAAACTCTAGATTAATAATTGAACTTTAAAAAAAAAAAAAAAAAAAATGAAAAAGGAAAAGAATTTTTTTTTTTTGCAAAAGCAAATAAAAAAGTGAAGACTTCTCCCAAAAAGTGAGAAGTGGGAAATGATTAGATGGAGGTTGTTTTGATTTATAGCCTAGTTGATTTGAGCTTGTAAGTCCTTAGGGGTGTTTAAACGCCTAATGCCCTAAAGTCCTTTGGTTCAGGAGTCATTGACCTAATGCTCGACCTCATGGATCACTGGAAAGCTTAATAGATCAACACATTGCACTATGCTTCCATCTTTGATCCTTAGGATTAGAAAAAAAAAAAAAAATATCGAGTAAAAAGAATAAGTGCACCTAGATCAATAAAGCTTTAATAAAAGGTTCACTCTTTGTCTAGATTTGTGTGCTAGTTTGAGGGTAAGGATGTGATCATTTCTTTAGTTGGCTAAGATAGCAACATATTTGATGCCGGTTTACTCAAAAAGGATTCTAGAGTTGTTTTGATTTGCATGATCATTTTCTTGATATGTGAAGGACCATACTTGCTTATTTGATGTTGAGATTTTGGGAGATTGCTTGGAAATGGTTGAAAAATTACATACTTAAGGTAGTTTTTTCCCGATGCTTGTTTGCAATATTGGTGTCTCTTTTGCGAGAATGAGCTTAATATTTGTGGGTATCATTTTTGGAAACCCTCACTAGACTTCACTCGTCCACTAGGGGTAATCTAGGGGTTTAAAAGGCTTGTTGCATGCGCTAAATGCAATCGTGTTCCCTACGAAAGTGGCGCTATCTATTTATTGCTTTCTAGTTCATAGTTGTTTAGTTATTCATTTCATTCCTTTACTTTGTAGTTCATTGTTAGGGACTAGCAATATTTAAGTTTGGAGGTGTGATGAGCACTGAAAAATGCGCATTTAAACCCCGTAACCTTGGGTATTCTAGAACCTTATCCTATCTTATTTTCCTGTTTTAGTCTAATTTCATGTTATTTCTCTTTTCAGGCACTTATCCCCAAAATAAGTTAATCCAGCTGAATTAGAGCATAAAAGATACAATTTCAAGCTTAGTGGAAGAAAGGAGCAAAATGGAAGCAAAGTGATGGAAAACAGGAATTTCCGATCGATCAGACCAAGCTTAGATCAATCTCACAGTGATCGTTCCAACCATGCCAAGATGGATCGAGCCTCCTGTCCTTATCCTCAAGAAATTCCCATCTTCGATCGATCTAACATTTCTTCGATCGATCAAACTTTTTTGATCTTATCCCCATCTACCACTTTTGTCTTTTTCCCGAAATATCCCAAAAATATCTCAGATTTGTCTAATTCCAAAAAGGTGCCACCATGGTTTGATCAATCTGACCACCCTTGTGATCGATCGACCCCCTCAAGTGCGAGAAAAACAGAGTTCCAGCCAATTAAAAGGTGTGCTCGTGGTGCAATTATTTGGAGGTCCTAGTGCACGAGGTTTGACAATTGGGTGTGACACTTGAGCTACCTATATAAGGATTTTGAGCCATTTTTACACAATATACAATCTTAGAGAAAGGAACCATATACACAAGAGAGAGGTTGGAAGAGTCTAGAGATTAGAAAGACACACACCATTTGGGGTGTTCTTCCACTCATCTAGGGTTTCCATCAAGGAGAAGAAGATTATTCCTACCATGGAGATGGCCCTTGAGGGTTGGATAACTACATCAATAAGTGGCTAAACCATTCTCTTGGGGCTAGAGATAGTCCTAAGCGTGCCTCCTAGACTTTGATGTTTTGTATTTTGAGGAGATTTGTGTTGTAATTCTTGTATTGACATTTGATTTATATATGAATCTTGTTTCTACAATGATTTGTGTAGTTTAATACTTCTAATTGATCATTTCATTCTATTCATATGTCTATGTATGCTAGAATAGATGTTCATGTGTTTATCTCTAGGATTTGTGATATTGATGCATGTCTATGTGTGTTGATGCTATGAATCTAGAGATGGTCAAGGCATAGTGCTTTAATGGAATACTCTTATGGTTTGTTTGATGGTTTATACTTATTTCTTGATGGATTGTGCCTCTTCCTTAGTTTAATTAGTTTAATTTTCATGTCCCTAGCTTAGTTGTAGAGTAGTTGCCTTACTTTCTTAGATGGGAGGACAATCCATGCTTGTTGTTTGATGTTCCATGCTTATGAGTGCAAGTAGTATATTTCTCTAATTTGATAATGTGTATTGATTATGGACTTAAAGGAAGGAATAATGGCTTAATTTGATATGTTATAGTATTCACTAGTTTGTTTAGACAATGTATAGTTAATTAGTCATCCATGTTTGTTGATTCAATCAATGACACACACTTTATTGCAACACATAACCCCCCTCATTCATTACACATTGAGTATCTAGGAAGGTGATGTTTAGTGGTAACCTCTAAGTCCCGAGATCCCTCTCTTATATTCTCTACATTTTACTCTATTTCAATTGTTTTACTTTGTATTCATTTAGTTGATATTGTAGTTTAATCAACCAATCAAAACATCTTTGATCACTCGACTTGCTAATCCGACCTTGATTTCTAAGCAAAATACACTCAATTTCCCTTGGGACGATCCCTACTCGCCCTAGCTATATTTTTAGTTAAAAGTGGTAGTGGGAATCTCTAAATTTAAACTTGGCCGCACTACACACTTTTGCATGCTTTGGTTCGAGACACACCAAAATTAAGCTAAAACAGATAATTACAATGTGGTACACACACTGAGGCCAATGAATAGGATATGTCACTGAAAATGAAATGACCATACTATCCTTGCACCTTATTTCAAACAACAATGAAGAAAAATAACCCCCTTGAAGCCACTGAAAAACATGTTTTTGACATTAAAGAGGTAAACAGTGTTTAAGGGACCTTAGGACCAACAATCTCCCCCTTTTGCCTTTAATGACAAAAACTTCAACATGAAATAAGATCTCAGTGAAACAAATTTAACCATAGTGATGCTGAAACACAACAAGCATAGTAAAAAACAACACCAAATAAAAGGAATAGCTGAAAAACTACCCTTATTTCAGTCATCTCTCCTCCTTTTTGACATTGAAGGACAAAATGTGAGAAGGACCAACAATAATAAGCTTAGAAACACTACACCATATTAGGGTTTTACCAGCGCTCCGCTGGTATAGGTGCAATCGTACCAGCACTTTTTTAAAAAGCGCTGGTATAGGTGTAATCATAGCAGTGCTTTTTAACGAGCGCTGGTATAGGTGCAATCGTACTAGCGCTCTTTTAAAAAGCGCTGGTATAGGTGAACTAACACCAGCGCTCTTAGTAGGAGCGCTGGTATAGGGCTAATAGTGTGAAATTTAATGCGGGAAAAATTGGCACTTTAACATTATTTCACTTTTTTATTTTTTTTCGTATCAGCGCTCTTTTAAAAAGCGCTAGTATAGGTGAACTAACACCAGCGCTCTTAGTAGGAGCGTTGGTGTAGGGCTAATAGTGTGAAATTGAATGCGGGAAAAATTGGCGCTTTAACATTATTTCACTTTTTTATTTTTTTAATTTTCCATTTATTTTTTCTAACCTTATCTCATCCGATCCCTAGGTTTCTCTTCAGCCTCCCATTCGCCAGATCTCTATTCTCGGTCTCAACTCTGAACTTGCCCCCTCTTCTTCTCTCTGCAACTCCCCAATCGCCTCCATCACTATTCTCGTTCTCAACCTATTGCACCACAGCCACCACCATCACTCCACCCCATATCCTCACACCACCACTGAAGCCAATCCCTCTCTCTTTGTTCGAGCTCTCTGCTATGGGTTTTTCGGTGAGATCTCTGGCCAAACCTCGGCCTCTCGCTCTCGATCTCATCTCTTCTCCATTGGCTTCTTCTCCGGCCGACCCTCAGCCAAGGAGATAACATTCTCATCTCGCCGCTATCCACTGCTGCAATTTTCGGTCATCTTCTCCGGCGAATCTCAAGCCGTCATCTCATCATTCTCGGGTTGGTCTCTCTCTCGGATTTTTTCTTTTCATTCCTTTACTCTTCTCTCTATCTTTCGGGTAAGCATTTTTCCCCTGTCATTCATATAAATATATATATGAGTTCATGTTTGAAAATTTCTGAAGGAAGGGTTAATTTTGCTTTATTTCTCCTTTCGATGGAATTCTTTTCCAATTTTTATTCTGAAATTCAACATCTAAGCTCTAAATGTGAGCTATGTCTGGTCTGATTTTTATTTTTTCTTGTGGTTTTCCAGTGAGAGAGAGTTACACATTTGAGGGGAATTGAACTACAAATCAAAACCATGATGATCTCTTTTATATGAACAGAGAAGTATGTTCTTTTTGTCAACAACAAATTCTTGCCTGGAACTATTTAATATATTATATATATATCTTGATTCCATTCCATGTCTTTGATGCACAAATTAGAAACAACTTTTTATGCTAAAGGACTTGAAGTTTACATTATTCATGAATGCACGCTACCCTATTTCAGGCCTTGCTTCAGGCTGTTTTTTTTTTTTTTTTTTTGGGAAAGTGCTTCAGGCTATTTTTGTTTATATATCAATTATGCATATCATATGTTTAACCCTCAGAAGTTAGAACTGATGCAATAAATAGTTATATACTTACACCATGTCATATACCAGTATTAGTTTTAAACACAGATAAAACTCAAAATCTTTTGAAGTTATTATTTATTAAATAAAAACCAACATGGTGTAAATACCATGTTTTTTTACAATCTTCCAAAAAAAATTTAGGAATAATTTGTTGTTCTTGTTGGTTTTAGTTAGTGAAGTTAATGAGGATATATCATTTTTACTTGATAAATGCGAGCTACGTCTTTGTTCCACAATGTTGCACACTCCGGCCCCCCCTTACATTGAATCCTGGCTCCGCCCCTGTTGGTCGATCTCTTTTTGCAATTCAGTTCAATTTATGATTATGCTATTTATATGTTTTTCTGTTGTTCAATGAATTTCCGCATCATTTATGAATAAACCTAAAGCACGGCAGTAGGAAAGAACCAACCACGATAACCTATTAATGCATTTTTGCGACGTATGTTTTAGTAAAGATTGTATTTCAGATGAAGGTTCATGTTTTACTCTTTAATACAAATTGTTCAGCAAACACCTCAGTGAATGCTATAGCTTTCCTCGCCAGGCTAGAAAGAGTTTTGAGTATATAAACATCATGCTACCTGCAGACACTGTGTGTGTGTGTGAGAGAGAGAGAGAGAGAGAGATTTAGTGGGATGAATGGATAAGGTTTTAGACATTGGGCTAAGACTTGCAAGCCAGTAGGTACCACTGTGTGAGAAACTATAATAGTTCCTTGTTGGACTCTATTTCATAGGAATGTCAACATAAATCAATCGGTTTTTATATCATTACTCAATTTCTTTTGGTGTTGCATTTTACCGGAACATGTTTGACATCTATAAAACATTTTAGAAAACCCAGGTTAGATTTCCAAAGTTGAAATTAGATGAACCCCAAGTTCTCTACTAGAACTTGCCTTGTTTGTCTACTATAACCTGGTAAGAGATATCAACTCAAATCCTAATGAAAAAAAATGGAGTAGAGTAGAAATGAGGTTTGCAATGTTAGAGTGAAAAATTTGCAATTATTTTATGGTAAATATCTCTCCCTAAATGTCCTAGAAGATTATTTATTTATTTTCTTATATTACTTTTATTTAAAAAGTAAAAATATGTATATTCAAAACAAATTAATATTAGACCTGTTATCCTATTAATAACATAAAGATAGTTTATATAAAAATAATAATATAACCTTGTAACCTTCTTAATTTATAACCTTGTAACCAAGTTCTTAATTTAGCTAAATCTGCAAGTTCTTAATTTACTCTTTTATTTATAGCTTGATGACGCATATGGTTTGGATGAATTCTGTGTCTTTTTCAATATCTTGAACTTCTGATTATTCCTTGCTTATAAAAATTGTCATCTTCAACGGTTAATAAATTTTTTTGTTGGTTTGTTGTTTCTGCGCCTGCTGGAGTAACTTGGGGCACAAGTTCTCTACACAATCTTCACTACCTTTTGCTTGATAGCTGTGGTTTTTGTGAAGAGGAATGTGATGGAAACAAAAGGAAAATCACTCCAAGAAATTGAGATTGCACTTCTGCCCGTTGATTAGAGGTAATTTTTCTAATAATGTCCCTTGTGTATATTTGTTTTACCAATCTTTGAATGAAGCTATCAGATGGTTTGGCACAAACATGTCATATTAATTCAATTTCTCTTTCCAGGTGTACATTGTAAGGGCGAACAGTTCTGAAAAAGAAGTGTTTTTAGAAAAGTTTGAAGATAAAGTTAAAGCTAGAACAAAGAAAGTTTGAAGATGGGGTCGTGGTTGTGTTTACTACTTTTGTGAAAAATTCTTTTCATTTTGTGTATAGTTCTTTTGTAAAAACTTGGTGTTCAGTACAACATTATATATTAGTAGACATGCAATTTGGATGTTATTTTCGTATTTGGCAGGTTAATCGGTAGACATTTGGATGATAATTGTTTTTATATATAAACATATATTATAAATGGGTTTCTTTAGGAAAAGAAAAAAAAAAACCAAAACCAAAACCAAAACCACCACCAAATAAAAAAAACAAAAAAAAAATGGTAATCCCCAGCGCTCCTTAAGGAGCGCTGGTGGGTTTCTTTTTTTTTTTTTAAAAAAAAAACAAAAAAATGGTGACCCTTTACCAGCGCTTTTTCAAAAAGTTCTGGTAAATAACTTATGCCAGCGCTTTTCTAGAAGCGCTGGTAAAGCCCTACCGACAATGGATTTACCAGCGCTTTTTCAGAAGCGCTGGTAATTCAATTACCAGCACTTTTTAAGGCTTTTACCTGCATTTTTGAGCGCTGGTAAAAGATGAAACTGTTGTAGTGAAAGGTGGTTGAACAACCCTAAGAAGATCTCTAAGGGTTGAAAATCTCTGAGGGAGAAGAGGTTTAGTCATGATATTTACAAGTTGATCTTCAGTAGGTAAATAGGTAATGTCAATAAGACCTTTTTGAACTTTATCTCTGAGAAAATGATACTTGATATCAATATGTTTGCTCTTCTAGTGAAGTGTGGGATTCTTATTGATTGCAATTGCACTTTGATTATCACAATAAAGCTTAGGACCTGAAAATTGAAGACCAAGATCTGCAAGAGAAGTTTTCATCCAAAAAAGTTATGAACCAGCCTGAGAAGCAACTATGTATTCAGCTTTTGAAGTAGATAAAGAGACAGTAAATTGCTTCTTGCTTAACCAAGAGACCAAATTTGAGCCTAGGAGATAACAACAGCCTAATGTACTCTTTCTGTAAGGTAAGGATCCACCCCAATCAGTATCTAAAAAATATGTAATAGGCAATGTGGGTGAGAAAATGTAATGTAGACCATAGGAGATAGTTCCCTTAACATATCTAAGAATTCTTTTAGCATCTTGAAGATGAGAGATTCTTGAATTGCTCTGAAATCTAGCTACCAAGCCCACATAATACATAATATCAGGTCTTGAAGCTGTAAGGTACAATAGACTTTCAATGATAGACCTGTAAAGAGTAGAGGGGACAGGTTCTGTGGTACACTCAAGAGATAGCTTCGTATTAGGACACAGTGGAGTTGAAACAGGCTTATAATCATCTATATTGAATTTTTTAAGTAGCTCAGAGGCATACTTTTGTTGAGAAATGAAAATCCCTTTGGATGTTTGATTGATATGAAGGCCTAAGAAGTATCTGAGAGTTCCCAAAAGTGACATTTCAAATCTGGTCTTCATTGAATTGGCAAACTCTGAGGCTAAAGAAGTATCTGAGCAACAAAACGTGATATCATCAACATAAACTTGAGGAATAAGAAACTGATCTTGATGAATTTTGACATAAAGAGTGTTATCTAGTTTTCCTCTATAAAAACCTTGTTCAACCAAGAACTGATGTAGCTTTTCATACTATGCCCTGGGAGCCTGTTTAAGACCATACAGGGCCTTATTTAACTTGAAAACATAAGAGGGATACTTAGGATCTTCAAAGCCTTTAGGTTATTCCAAGTACACTCTTTCATTTAAATCTCCAATCAAAAAGGCAGACTTAACATCCATATGATAAACTTTGACTTGTTTATAACAAGCAAAGGACAAGAGCATTCTAATAGATTCCATCCTACCAGCTGGGGCAAAAGTTTCATCATAATTAATACCAGCTTGTTGAGAATATCCTTTACATGTCAGTCTAGCTTTGTTTCTGATAACTGTGCCTTTTTCATCCAACTTATTTCTATAAATCCATTTGGAACCAATGACATTCTTAGCTGCAGGTCTAGGAATCAATGTCCAAGTTTCATTTTGGTGAATTTGGTCAAGTTCTTCTTTAATAGCAACAATCCAATCTTCACTTTTCTGTGCTTCAGAATAAGACTTTGGTTCAATTGAAGATAACATTGCAAAATGACTATATTCTTCACCATCTTTAGCTTCTAATTCAGTGAGTCTCTTCTTGTTTCTTGTTTGAACATCAACTTGAGGGGAACCAATGATGTTTTCAGCTTGAACTTGTTTCTGTAATTCTGGATAAATGACTTCCCTTTGAGTATCAAGCTCTGAAGTGAATTTAACAGCTTCATTTAACCCTTGAACTGAATGAGATGGACTGGCTTCTGTTGATCCTGGTATAGAACAACTGCCATCATTGATACTGGATTGAGGATTTTCATCAAATTTAACATAGATTGATTCATCAACCTTGGAGGATCTGAGATTGTAACATTTGTAAGCCTTGCTTTTGATAGAGTATCCCAAGAAAATCCCTTCATCAGCCTTAAAGTCAAATTTCCCTAAGTTATTTATATGATTGAGAATAAAACATCTGATGCCAAACACTTTAAAGTAATAAACTGGTGCAGGCATTCCATACCATAGTTTAAAAGGAGTTTTAGTTTAATTAAGTCTGAGAAGCACCCTGTTGATGATATACACTGCAGCACTAACAGCTTCAGCCCAAAATCCCTTTCCAAGACCTTTTTCAAGTAACATAGTTCTCCCTATTTCCTGAATAGTCCTATTTTTCCTTTCCACAACCCCATTTTGTTGAGGATTAGTAACAGTTAAGAACTCTTTCTTGATACCCTTTATATCATAATAGCTTTCAAATTCTCTCATTGTAAATTCAGAACCAAAATTAGACCTAAGTCTATTTACAGTACAACCCTTTTCATTCTCAACAAGACTCACAAACTTAATAAAGTGTGTATAGCATCATATTTCTCTTTCAGAAAGTAAACCCACACCATTCTACTGAAATCATCAATGAGTAGCATAAAATACTTACTTCCACAAATGTTTGTTGTTCTAGTAGGACCACAGAGATCCATGTGTATCGAATCAAGAGCTCTGGAAGTGTTGATTTCTTTGGAAGGGAGTGACACTTTAGTTTATTTTCTTTGTTGACAAGCTTTGCAAAGATGATTATCACTAAATTTTAGATCAAGTAGGCCTTTCACAGCTTTCAGCTTTAGGATTTTGGTTAGATTTCTTGAGTGGAGATGACCTAGTCTCTTATGCCACAGTATAGCTTCATCTAGAGTGGTCAAGTTACAGTGAGTGGCTTCTTCAAATACTGTGTACACATTTCTAAAAGATCTACAAGTTGAGAATAGAACCTTTTCTAATTCAATGTCAACAGCATTACACTTCCCTTTATCAAAACACACATTCTTCCGACTGTCACACAATTGACTTACACTTAGAAGATTATGTTTGAGGCCTTCAACAAGTATTACCTCTTTAATCTCAGGCAATTCTTTAAACTTACTCACAGTGCCAATTCCAATAATCTTAGCCTTTTGATTTTCTCTAAAGATAACATTTCCTCTATCAAAGTTTTTCAGAGAGACAAACTTAGAACTATCACCTGTCATGTGCCTTGAGCAACCACTGTCAACATACCATTTGTCATTAATGTTATGGGCTTTAAAAACTGTATACACCAACATACTCACTGCATTCATTCTTTTAGGTATCCATAACATCTTGAACTTCACAAAAGATCCTTTATGTTTGACTTTTTGAACTTGACTTAAGTCAGATTTCTTCACATACATCTTGGTAACTTTGAAATTTCTAATGGATGATGTGACAAAATCACTTTCATTCAACCTCAAGTTACTATAGGTGTTGTCAAGTAAATCATATTTTGATCTCAAAGATTTTATAATTGGAAATCTTGCATATACTTTACCAGAGGAGGCCTTAACAAACACAGAGTGGTTTTGTTTAAACTTAGTTGCAGTGTCACAGATATAACTAATTCCAGTGTTCCCAATTTGCTTAGTGGATTGTTTCTAAATTTCAGCCATCTTCAAAGTCCTTTCTTCAAGAATCAGTGAGAGTTCTTCTCTACACCTTTTAGTAGACCATTATGTGTTAGATTGAGGTTTCAATAGGCTTGAGAAGATAAGAGAGACTGAACACAAGGTTGACAGTTTACGCCTGAAGTGTTTAACAAGAAGTTGTTTAGATTTTTGCAGTTCTGAGTTAAGAGTCTTTATTTGAGATTTCTGTTGATTACACTTCACAGCAAGTCTTTCACATTCCTCAAGTATTTATTTTATCTCTGAGTCACTATCTTCTTCAACTTTAGGTGCATCCCGTGGAGTTTCAAGAATAGCCACGAACAAGCATTCATCCTCTTGTAATTCTTCAAGTTTATCTTCTTCAGGTACAGAATCCCAATCTGAAATAAGAGCCTTCCTCCCAAATCTTCTTTTGAAGTTTCCCCCTTCATTCTTTCTTTGATGTTGCCCTTTTTAAGATGTACAATTCGAGACATAGTGGCCAAGCTTACCACAACCATAGCAGGTTAGGTTTTGAGACTGATTTTTCTTCTTGAACCTGAACTTCTTGAATTTCTTTGACAGATAGGCCACTTCATCCTCTTCAAGATCATCTTTTTCAGACTTTGGTTCAGATTCTTCTATAACTTCTTTGGCTTTTAGAGTAGCTTCTCTTCTTTGGAAAGTTAGAACACCAATTCTCATTTCATAGGCAATAAGAGAAGCTTGAAGTTCATCAATCTTCATTTGAGATAAGTCTTTGTCCTCAAGAATTTTAACTTTTGCATTGAACCTAGGTGTAAGTGACCTAAGTATCTTCTTACAAACATCAAAGTCCTTAATGTCTTCACTAAGGGATTTCATGTTATTGACAATGTCATTGTTCCTAAACAAGTATTCATCCACAGTTTCCCTTTCTTCCATCTTGCAAGCTTCATAGTGAACTTTGAAGAGCTGAATCTTGTTTTCTTTGATAATAGTGCTTCCTTCATGAGTAGCCTGAAGAAAGTCCCATATTTCCTTAGCTGTTTTACAATTCTTGACTCTGGTAAATTCTTGTTGCTTCAAAGCACAATAGAGGACATGTTTAGCTTTACCATCATTAGCCACAACAACTTTGTCAGCTTCAGTGGGATTTTTAGGACTGAGAATCTTAATACCATGCACAGCAGCATGCCAAACATCATACGAGTGAGACATTAAAAATGCCTCCATTCTGATTTTCCATGAATCATAGTTCACAGCACTGAACCCTGGAGTTTTGTGATAAGCACTGAAAAGTGCATATTTAAACCCCTTAAGTTCGAGTATTCTAGAACCTTTATCTATCTTATTTTCCCATTTTAGACTAATTTCATGTTATTGCCCTTTTCAGGTGCTTATCCTCAAAATAAGTCAATTCAGCCATATTAGAGCATAAAAAAAGCAATCTCAAGCTAAATGGAATAAAGGTGCAAAGTGGAAGCAAAGTGGTGGAAAACAGCAAGTTTCGATCGATCAGACCAAGTCTAGATCAATCTCACAGTGATCGTTCCAACCATTTCAAGATGGAACGAGCCTTTTGTCATTTTCCTCACCAAAGTACCATCTTCAATCGATCCAACTTTCATTTAGATCGATCGAACTTCTTTGATCTTATCTCCACTTACTACTTTTGTGTTTTTCCCAAAATATCTTAAAAAACCTCAAATCTGTCTTATTCCAAAAAGGCGCCACCAAGGTTTGATCGATCTGGCCATACTTTGATTGATATGGCCATAGTTCAATTGATCTCATCAAAATTCGATCGATCGAACTCCCTCAAGTTCGAAAAAAAAAATAGAGTCTAGCTTATTAAAAGATAGCTCGTGGTGCAATTATTGAAGGGGCCTTAGTGCACGAGACCTGACCATTGGGTGTGACACTTGAGCTACCTATGTAAGGATTTTGAGCCATTTTACACATATAGAATCTTAGAGATACACAATCTTGGAGAGGAGGCTAGAGGTTAGAGAGATATACACTATTTGAGAGTTATTCTATTCATCTAGGGTTTCCATTAAGAAGAAGATCATTCCTACCATGGAGATGGCCCTTGAGGGTTGGATGACTACATTAATGAGAGGCTAAACATCTTCTTGGGGCTAGAGTTAGCCTTAAGCATGCCTTCTAGATCTTGATGTTTTGTATTTTGAGGGGATTTATGTTGTAATCTTGTCTTCACATTTGATTTATATATGAATCTTATTTTTACAATAATTTATGTTGTTTAATACTTCAAATTGATCATTTCATTCTACTCATATGTCTATGTATGCTAGAATAGATGTTCATGTGTTTATCTCCAGGTTTTATGTTATTGATGCATGTCTATGTGTGTTGATGCTATGAATCTAGAGATTGTCAAGGCATGGTGCATTAATGGAATACTCTTGTGGTTTATTTGATGGTTCATACTCATTTCTTGATGGATTATGCCTCTACCTTAGTTTAATTAGTTTAATTTTTATGTCCTTAGCTTAGTTGTAGTGTAGTTGTTTTACTCTCTTAGATGTGAGAACAATCCATGCTTGTTGTTTGATGTTCCATGCTTATGAATGCAAGTAGTATAATTCTCTAACTTGTTAATGTGTTTTGATTGTGAGCTTAAAGGAAGAAATAATGGCTTAGTTTGATATATTCTGCTATTCATTAGGTTGTCTAGACAATGTATACTTAATTAATCATCTATGCTTGTTAATTCAATCAATCACACATTTTAGTATTGCAACACATAGTTCCCCTCATTCATTACACATTGAGTATCTAGAAAGGAGATGTTTAGTGGTGACCTCTAAATCCCAAGATCCCTCTTTCTTGTTCTCTACCCTTTATTTACTTTAATTGTTTTGTATTGAATTTGTTTACATTGTAGTTTAATTAACCAATCAAACCACCTTTTGATCACTTGACCTACTAATCCGACCTTGTTTCCATTTCAAATACGCATCCAATCCCTTGGGACGATCTGTAATACCCCTAATTTTAAAAGGATAGTCCTGGTATTTAAACTATTGTTTAAAATTGCTTTTGTTTATTTCTTTGGTTTGATTTACTTATTTTAATTATTTTAAGCTGCATTTGTTTACTTATTTGTTTTAATTATTGTAATTGTTTTAAATTAATTTGGTTACTTGTTTAATTTACTTGAATTTAATTGAGTTAATTTGTTTAATTGATTTGTTTTAATTAATTGTCTTACTTAAGGATTTAATTGTTTTAAGTGAAATTAAATTTAATTGTTTTAAGTGAAATTAAATTTAATTGGATTCGTTAAATTATATTTAATTGGTTTCAGTAGGTTGTAACGTGACTATAGTTTATGGGGTTTATAGTTTTCATAGACAGCCGATAGTGTTTAACCTAGGTTTGCCTATGGGCCGTATTATACATGGATTAAGGTTTAAAGTTTAAGGTTATAAATAGGCTTATACGGTGGTTTAGGGTTGAAGGAAAAATAAAAATAAAACTGTGGGTTTTCTGTGGAGGCATAGAGGAAACAAAGAGGGAGAGAGCACACAGAGGTTCACCGGAGAACTGGGGAAGAACCGTCGGTGTAAGGCAAGTTTTATATCTAACTCAATCCCTTAGGTTTCGTGTTCTTTGCATCACTAATTCAGTTCCAGGAAGTAATAACGTTAAATTAATATGGTTGCACAATTAGTTGTTTCAAAACAGTATATTTTCACGCCTGTGTTTTTCTTCCGTCTGTACACTGTTTTTGCTTGTTCTTATTTTGGATGGATTTTGATTAACAAAGAATAAATTTAAATAATTTTAGAGCACCTTGGGGTTTAGTTTTAATCAGTAGTGAAGTTGGTTTAGAGGAACAAAGCGGTTAAACACTGCCGGAGTGAAAGGAGACGATGCACAGAGGAGGAACTGGGTCACCAAAACGCAGAGCAGGCTCCACATAAAGTGGAGCCGGCTCTAGGATTAAGTGGAGGCGGCTCCACCATCATTTAGAGGCGGGTCCACTTTGTGTGGAGCCGGCTCCTCCAGGTTTTTCAGTTTTTATTTATTTATTTTGTTTTGTTTTCTGCGAACCTAGGCTACGGTACATGGATGTTCCAAGTTTCCAGAATGTATTAGAAGTGGTTCCAGGGGAAATTAGTGATGTTTAAACTCTTGGTAAATTTGCAGAAGGTATGGAAATTTATAAATTATCATAAGAGGCTGAAATAGGAATACAGTCTGAAACTTATTAGGGAAGTTTTCAGATTTATTTTGATGGGGATGATCAGAATTGCTTAGTTTTGAATTAGAAATTTTAACTTGGAATTTTTATGTTTAAATCATGTAACAATGATCTGAGATTAAGCATGTCAATTAATATAAATTCGATTAATGCTTAAGGTTAAACTAGTTGATATTTTTCAAAGAATTATTTAGATCAACTTATGGGATGTTGCGGAGTGGTTATTAGTAAGCATGTTATTCTGTTCTAATTATTACTATGCTTATTGTGGATTATAGTATGGTTACAGTTATTCTCGGATATTTATATTTGTTAGAGAATTAAGTACTGGATGTATTGAAACAAGCATGCTAACTATAGATTCTTGTTATGCATATGTTTGGATAGGTTGATATTTATATGTGTTAATGTCAATGATATTACCAATAATTGGATAGATGGTGTATACTTGTTATGGATTGGTTGATTAGTTGATATTGAAATGTTTACTGTCTTATACATTATCAACACTGGATGGATGGATTGTATGCACCGATATGGGATGGTGTCATACTAGGGGGATTAGCTCAAAAATGCTAAGTCCTACCTACTCTGGATTAAGGAATGGATTAACTAAAAGTTAATCCTATTTTATTTATAGTGTCAAGGAAACATATAGTTGAGCGACACTACTATGGATTTTGGAATGGAATTTAATTATATATTTTATTGTGCCATGATGTGAGCCTGAGTCTCAGAGTCATTGGTTAGGGAGCGTATATGCATCGAGATGCATAGCTGGCTACGATGGTTGGAGGTGTACCCTGTTAAGGTTAGGTACACATGCCCACTTTGTGTGCGTTTTAGCATGTTACCTTTACTCAGGTTGAGACCGGCCAGTAGGCCAATGAGAGTCCTTTAGTGTGATTATATATATATATATATATATATATATATCTGCGGACTATTTAGTTATTGTTGGACTGGTTAGGATGTACATGCGTATCGGGTCTCTGTTTGGGTTGTAGTAGTATAGAACTTGCGCGTGGGCCTGATCCACTTCTATTTTTCAGGTACACGACAGTTCCAGACTTAGACGTGTTCGTGCTGAGCAGAGGTTTCTATTCACTCTACCGACGATGTAGGACTTCTCTTCGAAGCTTATTTCTGGATGTCTTATCAGTTATTTTTATTACTGTTTGGATTAGTATTAGGGGTCCACTAGAGATGGATTCCCGAGTTGTACCCTTGGAGGTTTTGGAATTGGTTTATTCAAATTTTAAGTATTTAACTTTTAAGGATTCTCTTTTAGTTTTCTTTCAGCTACTAAAATTTTTAATTCTTATTTCTTTTAGTAATCTGTTTTCGTTATAACATATTAATTATTTGATATCCCTCGGGTTTGGGCTTGGGCCTAATCAACCAGTGTCTCGGATCCGAGGGGTATCACACGATCCCTACTCACCCTAGCTATATTAGTAGTTAGAAGTAGTAGTGGCATTTCATAAATTTTAACTTGGCCACATTTCATTGCAATTTGGTGCATCGACACGACAAGACACACCAAGTTTTGGCGCCATTGCCGAGGATTTGGCAACGCCGTATTTTGGGAACAATTAGGAATTAGTACTCTTTTGATCGTGTTTTACTTTATTTTATTTTGATTACTTATTGTGTTTGTTTTTTATTGGCTAGGTGAATTAAGTAAGGAAGTAAAGCAAGGGAGAATTGAAAAGTAAGGAGCTAAGCTAAGCATAAAAAGGGTAAAATCTAAAAAAAAAAATTGCAAAGCATAACAAAACTTGAAAATTAAAAAATAAATTGAAGTTGCTTAAGGAGCCTTTGTAAACTTTTCTAAACTCAATCTTTAGTTAAATCGTTGGCCAGCGTGGAGGCAAGTTTTTCATTTCTTAGATAGATCGTAAGCCCGCGTGGAGGCAATTTAATTTTTCTTACATATTGTTCAAAGCATGGGAGTATGGGATCATCGTATATGGAGGATAGTTGATTATTGATTTGT